AGCCACTGGCTCCTCAGTTCAAGGTGCGGGGCTACTACATAGTTTCAGGGCGCAGGGCTACTGACTACTCCTCTCAAAGGGACAGCAGTCTCCTAAATTATAGGAGGCGGGGCCACCAGCACCTCAGTTCAAGGGGCAGGGTTCTTCCTCCGTTAAAGGGGGCGGGGTCACAGCCACCTGAGTTCCAAGGGGCGGAGTCACTGTCTTCTCTGTTCAAGGGGAGGGGCTAGTCCCTCGGTTTCAGGGGGCATGGCCACAGCCGCCTGTGTTCCAGAGGGTGGAGCCGCTGTCTCCTCAGTTCAAGGTGTGGGGCTATTACTTAGTTTCAGGGGGCAGGGCTATTGCCTACTCCCCTCAAAAGGAAAAGCAGTCTCATAAATTCTAGGAGGCGGGGCCACCATCTCCTGTTCAAGAGGAGGGGCTATTCCCTCTGTTCCAGGGGGCGGAGCCACTGTCTCCTCAGTTCAAAGGGCGGGGCTATTCCTCAGTTTCAGGGGATAGGGCCACTGACAGAACAGCAGTCACCTAGGCTCAAGGGGTGGGGCCACCATCACCACGGTTCTAGGGGGCGAGGCCACAATCTCCTTAGTTCAAGGAGCAGGGCAATTACTTAATTTCAGGGGTCGGACCCACTGCCTACTACACTCAAAAGGAATACCAGTTTCCTAAATTTCAGGAGGCGGGGCCACCGTCACCTCAGTACAAGTGGCTGGCTATTCCTTGGTTAAAGGGAGCGGAGCCACAGCCACCTGGGCTCCAGGGGGCGGAGTCACTATCTCCTCCATTCAAGGGGAGGGGCTAGTCCCTCGGTTTCAGGGGGCGTGGCCACAGCCGCCTGGGTTCCAGAGGATGGAGCCACTGTCTCCTTAGTTCAAAGAGTAGGGTAATTACTTAGTTTCAGGGGTCGGGCCCACTGTGTACTCCACTCAGAAGGAAGAGCAGTCTCCTAAATTCTAGGAGGCGGGGCCACCATCACCTCAATTCAACAGGCAGGGCTGTTCCTCGGGTAAAGGGGACAGGGCCACAGCCACCTGAGTTCCAAGGGCCAGAGCCGCTGTCTCCTCAGTTCAAGTGGTGGGGCTATTACTTACTTTCAGGGGGCGGGGCTACTGCCTACTCCCCTCAAAGGGAACAGCAGTCTCCTAAATTCTAGGTGGCGGGGCCACCATCACCTCAGTTCAAGGGGTGGGGCTGTTCCTCGGTTAAAGGGGGCAGGGCCACAGCCACCTTGGTTCTAGGGGACAAGGCTATGTATGGCCTTCTTGGTTTGGGGGGTAGCGGGGAGTGCGTTCTAGGTTCCAGGGGGCGGGGTCATCATCTCCTCATTTCAAGGGGCAGGGCTACCTCCTCTGTTCAAGGAGCGGGGACACCACCTCCTCAGTTCCAGGGGATGGGGCCACCACCTCCTCCATTTCAGGGAGCGGGACCACTGCCTCCTCTGTTCCAGAGGGAGGGGGCACCACCTACTCGTTTGGTTCAAGGGATAGGACCACCACTTCCTCAGTTCCAGGGGATGAGGCTGCCAAAGCTCTGGGCTGCTAACCTAAAGGTCAGAGGTTCGAACCCACCAGTGGTTCCACAGGAGAAAAGACGTGACAATCTGCTCCGTAAAGATCACAGCCTAGAAAAACCTATGGGGCAGTTCTACTCTGTCACTTGGGGTCACAATGAGTCCAAATCGACTCCGTGGCATACATATAACAACCACCACCAACACCTCAGGTTCCTTCTCAGGTTCCAGGGGGTGGGGCCACTGTTTTCTCATTTCAAGGAGTCAGGCCACCATCCTAGGGCCTATGGGCAGGACCATCTCCTGGTTCAAGGGGTGAGGCCATCTCTTCAGCACCAGAGGGCAGAGGGAGCAAGGCCACAACTTACCAGGTTCAAGGGGTGGGGCCACTGCCTTCTGTTTTTGCTGGAGGGGGTGGGGTCATGGGGCTCCTTAAATCAAGGGGCAAGGCTGTCTCTTAGGCCCAGTGGGTGGGGCCACCGCCTAAGCAGTTCAATGGCACAGTTGCCTCCTAGGTTAAAGGGACGAGAACACTGCTTCCTTGGTTCAAGGGTAGGGCCACCTCTAAGGTTCAAGAGGTGGGGACGCTGCCTCTTGGTGTTGTGGAGGGCCTACCCCTTCGATTCCAGAGGACGGGGCCACTGCCTTCTCTGTTTTAGAGGGGCGCAGGCAACACCTCCTTGGGACCAGGGAGCGGGGCCACTGTCTCCTCTGTTCAAGGGGTGGAGCCACAGCCTCCTGGGTTCCACAGGGCAGGCCAACAGTGTTTTGGGTTCAAGGGTCAGGACTGCTGCCCAGGACAGAGGGGACTGGCCGCTGCTCCAGTGAGCTAGGAGAACGGGGTCGCCTACCCAGGGTACAGAGGGTGGGAGGACAGAGGATTAGTTTCAAGCCTTAAAATCTAATGAAATTTGCCCTGCTGTGTTTCAGATGTGCTTAGGGTCCATGACACCTTTTTTCCTTCCAATATTTCTGTTTGAATGGGAACGTCTATCCTATGCCTGGCCCATCACTGTATTTTGGAAGCAGATAACTTGTATTCTAGGGTTCACAGGTTCACAGATGGAGAGGAATTTTGTCCCAGGAGGGACCATATTCAGAGTCTCACTCATAACTGATTTAGATGATTTAGAAGAGATTTTCGACTTAGAGTTGATGCTGCAATGGGTTAAGTCTTTTGAGGATGCTGGGTAGGGGTGGATTACTTTGCACATTGGAAAACCATGGATTTTGGGAGAACAGAGGGCAGACTGTTATGGATTAAATTGTCCCTCCAAAAAGATATGTTGAAGTCTTAATCCCTGTACCCGTGAACATGACTTTATTTGGAAATAAGGTCTTTACAGATATAATTAGTCAAGATGAGCTCATACTGGAGTAGGGTGGGTCCTAATCCTATGTTGCCGTTGTTGTCAGTCGCCCTCGGATCGACTCCAACTCATGGCAGCCCCATGTGTGCAGAGTAGAACTGCTCATAGGTTTTCAAGGCTGTGTGATCTTTCGGAAGCAAATCGGCAGGCCTATCTTCTCTACTAGTCGAAAGGCTGGTGGTTTGAACCCACACTTGAACCAAACGAGTAGAGTAGGTGGTAGCCCCTCCCTCTGGAACACAGGGGGCAGTGGCCCCGCTCCCTGAAATGGAGGAGTTGGTGGCCCCATCCCCTGGAACTGAGGAGGTGGTCTCCCCACTCCTTAAACTGAGGAAGTGGTGTCTCCGCTCCTTGAACAGAGGAGGTAGCCCTGCCCCTTGAACTGAGGTGATGGTGGCCCCACCTCCTGGTATTTTGGAGACTTCTGTTCCCTTTGAGGGGCGTAGGCAGTAACCCCGCCCCTTGAACTGAGGTGACTGGGGTCCCCGCCTCCTAGAATTTAGGAGACTGCTATTCCCTGAAACAGAGGAATAGCCTCGCCCCTTGAACTGAGGAGATGGTGGCTTTGCTCCCTAAAACCATGGTGGTGGCAGCCCCCGCCTCTTGAATCTTGACAACTGCTGTTCCCTTTGAGTAGGCGGTAGCCCTGTCCCTTGAAACTGATATATAGCCCTGCCTCTTGAACTGAGACGTTTGCTGTGCCCCCATGGCAACCCCACGTGTACAGAGCAGAATTACTCATAGCTTTTCAAGGCCGTGACCTTTCGGAAGCAAACCGGCAGGCCTGTCTTCTGAGGTGCCTCTGGGTGCGTTCAAACCACCAAACTTCAGGCTAGTAGTTGAGTGCTTAACCGTTTGCACCCCCCCCCCCAAAAAAAAAAACCCCATCGCCCTCAAGTCGATTCTGTCCCATAGCGACCCTATAGGACAGAGTAGAACTGCCCCATAGAGTTTCCAAGGAGCAGCTGGTGGATTCGAACTGCTGACCTTTTGTTAGCAGCATAGCTCTTAACCACGCCACCAGGGTTTCCTTCTGACCCATAGCGACCCTATAAGCCTATAAAAAGAGAAGATACACAGCAGCTGCAAGCCAAGGAATGCCTGGAGCTACCAAAAGCTAGAAGAGAGGCATGGAAGATTCTGCCTCAGAGCCTCAGAAGGAATCACCAGGGCCCATACCCTATCTCAGACTCACAGGCTCCAGAACAGAGGTAATAAATTTCTGCTGTTAGAAGCCACCTAGTTTGTGGTATTTGGTTACGGCAGCCCTAAGATGGTAAATGTTAGTTCCAAAGGACTGCCCCTTGCTTTTATCATCCTTGATATGAGGTTCACCAAAGACTAACACCCCAGGTGCCCTAATACATTGTAGACCCTTCCATCACGGGACAAGAGTGCAACAGACATGCCTCACTGGGCCTCTTATGCCATCCTGAAATGACGTGTGTGTGGGTAGGTTGTATGGTGGACAGCACGAAACTCAGAGGTGAATTACACTGGCGTGTTGTGTGGAACTAAAAGCAGCAACTGGGAAGCTGGAATGAGGACCAACCTCTTCCTCCTCTGCCCACATCTGCCCCCCACCCCTAACTGCAGTACATGGACCAAAATATGCAGCCTCTCAAATAAGCAACATCCAGGAGGAGGAGCAAGGTTCTCATTAAGACGGAACAGTAGAGGGCGCAGTAGTTGAGGACATAGTGGTGTTTAGCAGGGCTCCGGAGGGCACAGGTGAAAGGTTGCTGAAGAGCAATGAGGAAGCCCTGAACAAAAGAGAGGCTGTTATTAATTTTCAAACGACATGCTTCATCTGGGAGTCCCTCCCCACTCAACCCCCATCATCCCAGCTACATAAAATTAATCCATCGTTTTTAAGGGATGTGAAAATCTGGGAAATGCGATTTGGGATCAAAAGTGTTTCTTTACTGGCTCGAAGTGGTGTTGGAGGTTTGTTTGATTTTGTTTAGAATTCCTTTGTTCCATGCAATTGCACTGAACCGAGTATATCCTTGAAGTAAAGAAAGGCATGATTCAGGTTTCTGGATCAGTAGTATCACCTTAAAGTGATTCCACTGGGCAGAAGGAAATAAAAGGCAGGAGGCAAGCTATCGATATGCTGCTTTATTTCTCTAAGGATACACTGAAACATTAGATGAGAATAGCTAATGACAAAATGTAGAAATGAAGCATCAGCTTCTATAACCACTCCTACAAGAATGTTAATATGTATTGTCATTACATGTTTACATCTGATATTGTCTCATTATACTATGCAATATAATAATGTAGAATACAGTAAGGAGGAGATCCTGCATTTCTTGTAAGCAGTAGGTGGAAATCTGGTTCTACCCGTGAGGATGATGACCTCCCACTCCCCCCAGAGATCCAGCTAGTTCTTGAGGAAAGTCCTAGAGATCACAAGAGAAGGGACTTGGTGGCCCTCCTTAACACATGGACAAAGAGCAGACAACTACTATGTTACAAGGGATTCAACTCATCACCGCTTTGAAATGCCATGTCCGTGTCGATGATGGCTCTGGCGCCTGCTCAGCGACCCCTCTAGAGTTTTACTTCTGTGGGATGAATTTCAAAACTGCAGGAACATTTGAAGGGACTAAAATATTGTCATGCAAGTTTCAAAACTCAAACTATGTCACTATTAATTAAAACAAAAAAAAATTAAACAAATAAAAAGGACAGCGGGGTTAGTTTTGTTAAGCTTCCAAAAGTATCCACTGTGACGATGTTCATCTGTAACAGGCTCATGTTTTCTCAGATCTGCCTACACTTTCCAAATCACCTGCATGTTCCAGACTTAAGGTAGGAACACTCAGAAAACATACCGCACAGGGAAATCAAACGTTAGTATGGAGAAAGATCAATTGTAGATAGAATTACAGCTACGTTCAAATGTTAATTTTCTGGAAAGTCCTGTTAGTCATTCGAAAGCACAAAGAACAGAGGAAGGTAATAGTTTGGATGAGGAAGTTAAACCATGCATTGTGGGGAGTTCTTTACTCCCAGAGCTGGGTGAGCAGCCTGAGTTGAAGCAGCCGCTGCAACTCTTGCATGTGACTATGCGTTACAACACAGTGGGTCCCAGCTGAGCCCTGAAAGCCACCTCGGGGATGGGGGTATCTCTTATGCTTCTTGCTTACATCACTAAGTGGCTAAATGGTTAGCACTTTTCTGCTCTAGGATAAACATGCAGAAGAGTCAATCTATCTAAGTTTGCGTTTTTTCAGATCGCAGCTACAGAGAAGTGAAGTTTGCCGCAGAGTTGCTGTTTGCTAAATCCTAGTATGATCAGTGTGTGCCCTTTGGGTAATACTGTAAAATGGGGGAAAAAAGACAGAGAAACAACTTTGAGGAGTGAAACACCACTCTTTCCCTATTGATGGTATAGGGCAGAAAGGGGACACAATGCACAAGCTTCAGATTCCATTTTACAGGACAGGAGCCCCTGCCTGTTTACAGCTTTTTGGCACAGTCGGGGCAATACACCTGCTCCTCATGGAAAACAAAGCGCTTGTTGGCCAGATTCACGGAGCATTTTTTGCAGTGGAAGCAGTAGTCGTGCCAGGATTGTCCTTCATAGGCCACCACACTGGAGCCTTTACCAAACCCTGTTTGAAAACAAAAGAGAAGAAAAGAGACAGCTGAGTAAATACAGGTTAGGCAGCTGCGGTGCAGAGAGATAAAATGACGAGTTGTCCCGGTCGCAGAGCCAACAAGCACGCAGAGCCAATGTCGCCCGGCTCCCTGCCACCCCTCTCCACCACCGTGCACTCTACCCCACGCCACTGCTCCCCTGCTATGGCGCTCAAAGTCCAGTACTGCCCCAGCCCTGCAAAGATGCCAGAGCTCAGCCAAGGGCGTCCCTGTTTTCAGCCCCCACATTCCCATGTCACTGCTAACGCCCTGTGACGCGCACCAACCTCCCAGCATAACCAGTTTCTTTGATTAAGGTCAGGGCCACGGCATCAAAGTGGCCACCAGGAGGCAAACTTGGGCTGTTTGTGGGGTGTGCACTTACCGGGCCTCGAGGAGCTGCTAAGCTTCGATTTTTTCTATAAAGAACCACCACCCACGAGGGACAAGTTCTCTCTCCACCCGGATGCCTGCCCCGGATGTTGGCGCTGGGAAACAGGGTGAGAGGCAAGCGTTTCCCGTGGCACACTGGGGACTTCCTAGCTTTAGAGACTGGGTGGCTCACTCTTGACACAGTCCTTTTCCCTGAGGATGGCAAAAGTCTTCTCAAATGTACATTTCAAGGCTCCCCGGGGAGATGGGAACATTGGAGGCAAGGGAAGGGCCCAGGGCACTTGGATCGCGGCCGCAAGATGAGGAATGAAGTGATTAGCTGTGCTTCTGATCACAAACCACTGCCAACAGGCAACTCTGAACTACCCTTCATCTACGGGGTTTTAGCATTCCAGGTTGGCTCTCTCCAGCCTCCCCGACCCCAGCCCCTCCCCGCGACCTCCATCCCCAACCCCTCGCCCCCAGAACCCCCGCGCAGTGCCTGCCTGTGGCCCAGTGGGTCTCAGGCATGTGAACTCCCGGCAGCATTGGTCGACAGTGGTCAGGAAGTGTTCTGTATTGCAAAGGCTAACCTGGCCTGGGGGAAGAATCCAAACTATTGGGCGGGGGGAGCCTTTAGGACCACAATGGCAGGGGAAGAAGGGCATTCTCTGGGGCCTTTGTGGATGAAACCGACGACATAGGAAAATGAGAGATGGTTACCAAGCGCAAAACCTAGCCTGGCAGACTTAGCAAGGACTCTTTAGCCTACCAGTGATGGGGTTCTTGCATCCGGCACACTTCTTGGCCACAAAGTTCTTGTAGCAATCCACGCAGTAATACTGGTCCTCCACAGCGGTGAAACGCTGCCCAGCCAGCTTCTTAGAACAGGTAACACACACAAAGCAATCGGCATGCCAGGGTTGATCCTGGTAAGTGATTCCTCCAGATGTGATGGCCTAGACCAGGGAGTGTAGCACCGGATTCAGATTCAAATCCCCTTTGGTTGAATGCCTACTATGTGCCAGGCACTGTGCTGGGCGCTTGGGTATACAATATCTCATTTAATCTCCACAGCAACCATGGGAGGCAGGTGCTATTATTATCCCCAATTTACAGATGAAGACACCGAGGCTCAGAGGAGGTGAGCCCCTTTCCAAGGTTACATGGCAACTCTAAGTGGTGGAGGCAGGCCTTTAAAGCCAGGGCTGCCCAACCCAGAGTGCAGTGTGAGCATCCCACACCACGGCGGCTACATGGGCCACTGGAGTGGGTGCACACACGACAGCTTGATGTGGCCACAGCACTGCTTTCTCTACCGGAGTTTCCTCATCTGTCAAGTGAGAATAATAATTCCTACGTCACAGGGCTGTCGTGAGGATGGAATGGGATAGTGTGTGTGCAAGTGCTCTGCAAACTGTCAAACACTTGTAGAAACAAGGGTGAATGCAGAGCTCCCGCGGCAACATACCTTGTTGCACTTCACGCAATGCTTGGCGAACTTGGCCTCGTGGCAAGTCACGCAATAGAAGTTCTCCCCTTTCGGGAAGAAGCTTCCGGTCCCGATGACTTGGCTGCAGTGGCTGCAGGTGAAGCAGTCTTTGTGCCAGATGGTCCCCTTGTACTCCACATTTTGATCTCCTGCGGGGGAAGCAATTGGATAGCCCCACTGACAGTGCTCTGCAGGGGGCTGCATCCGCTCAGCTCCCCACCCCGGACCCTCCTGAGTTGAGGGAATGCAGTCCCTGCAGTTATTGGCCTCAAGCTTCTAATTCACCTGCCCATGGGGCCTCGTCTCTAACGTCTGGCTCCTACTGGTGCCAACCCAGGATCCTGTCATGGGAGGGGACCCCAGTGTCATGATTTTGGGATAAACGCCTGAATCCCCACTCCCCCCTCGGACCCTTTATGGACTTCCAAATTCAACAGGGGAAACGACCTAACCCAGAATTCTAGAAGTGCTAGTAGAAGGAACCCTAAGGAAGAAGCATGCTTTGGTCACTTACTATACCCAAATGAGAAAGTGCTACATACTTTTCACTTCATTCTCTTGCCACAGACAGTTCTCTCCAATGTTCTTTAGTTTCCGAGTGTGTGCGTGTGTGCGAGCATATATGTGTACGCATATATACATGTATATATATGTGTACATATATACGCTAAAATCTAAAAGCAGCTAACAGCAACATTAGCCTCATCATCATCAACAAACCCACATCATCTCTGCCCTCGGGGCCTCCTCCCTGGCAGCCAGCTGGGGGGTGGCAGCCACAGGCCCTGTGACCTAGCCCCGGGGGGGGTGCGAGCATGTGCAGTACCTGCCACAATCGGCTTGAAGCACCCTTTGCACTTGGGGGAATCCTCACGAGTGGTGCACTTGTTACACAGGATCTTGTTGTCCTTGGCCACAAAGGTCTCATTGGCCAGAGGGTGATGGCACTTGTAACAGTGGAAGCAGGTGTCATGCCAGTAGCGGTTCTTATAATGTAGCTCCTAGGAATCAAGCAAAATCGCACAAGCCTCTGTGAGTCCCTCCACGGTTCACTGTGTGGCAGTGGCAGTAACCCTCCCATCAAGACTGATTTCCCCAGTGCTGACTCTGTGTCAGGCTGCAGCATCCTGGATACCTGTGAATGCCCGCAAGAGGACTGTTCCTGGGAGAAACGGGAGGGATGCAGAGGTGAGGATGGAAAACTCAGAATTCCACCAGAATTCCTGAAAAGCTTAGAGAATGGCCAGAAGAGCTAGACAGAGCCCTAGTACTCATCTGTCCAACGCCCACTTTAGACAGCTAGGCAAATGAAGACCTAGGCAGTGGAAAGGGCTTCCTTGAGGCCAGCCAGTCCATGGCACAACTAGGACCTGCTCCTGGGCCTCCTCCACTCCCTCATCTAACATGTCACTGCCTGTCCTGCCTTCCCTCAGGGGGCTACAGGGACAAGGGCAAACAACAGAGGGTACAGGAAAACTACGCTCGCATGCCATGTGGGGATGACTGTTACCTTAGAATCCGCACCGATGGGCTTGTGGCATTCTGCACAGGTGTTGGCACAGAACTTGTCAAAGCACCTCAGGCAGCAGTAGTGGCCATCCTTCTGCACATACTTCTTCCCCTGCAGGGGGTCCCGGCAGTAGTGACAGTCGAATTTCTCAGACATGGTGCCCACCTTGTAGCTGGAGGGACCTGTGAAGGCAAGCAGGCAGAATAAATGACCAACTGAAACCCCAAGAGCGTTCTGCCGAGAGGCTCCCGGGGGGCCCCTGGGCGGCTCTGCGCATGTCCGAGAAAACCAGTCTGAATCCACGGGGTCTGGAGACCAGGGCACAACTTCCCCTTGAGCCCAGCTGGTCCCCAGGCACCAAGGTAATGGATACTTCACTCCAACTACTGGTGAGCTGGAACCCCAAATCTATTTCCCCACAGACCAGAAGGCAATGAATCTTTGGTGTGGGAAAAACCCCTGCTTGGACAAACCACTGTGCTGACTCACCAAGGCCACAAAGGGGGATAAGAGGACCAGACAGGACTCCTGGGATGCTTTGAGCAGTGATGTGAAGGAGTGCAGGAGTGGGGAAGAGCAGGCAAGAAAGAAGAATCAGTCTTACACAAAAGGCACAGCCTTGGGCAGTGGCTCCAAGGTGAGGGGGTCAGGCAGGCGCGCACTCTGCGAGGACATCACGGCTCCGCAGAGAAGAGCCGCGCTGACTCCGCAGACTGCTGAGAACGGGCAGGGAAGACCCTCTGCTTAGGAGCTAGGCACTAGCTCAGGAGCCAGGAGTTCTTCTGCCAGCTTTCGCTCCTCCTCAGTCACTTTTTAGGGGGGACAGTAGCCTCTGGAGCCTCCGAAAGTTTACTGCTGACTCTCTACGCTAGACACATAAGCAAGCCTTATAATGCACTTCAAATTGTTTACATTTACTTTGAACCTGGCAGGAAGGATTTAAATCCCTTTATTCCAAGTTCGTTTACTGACTTTCAAGGCTTGAGCAATACAGCAACAAAAGATCGATAAAACTGGCATCCTCTACTGGTGCTGGCAATCTGTGCGACTCTGAATTCTTAACAGCGACATGCATTTGTGTAAAATTGAAATCCCTTTGTTCCAGCGAGTGCAGATCAATATAGTCACAGAACTGTTACCATTTGGGACACTTACTGGTTTAAAAATTGTTATTTTAAGGTACAATCCGAAAAATGGCTTTTAAAAAACATTGAGAAAATTTTGTTTTAAAGTGTTAAGCGGATTATGATTCCAAGAGTCCCTGCCCTTTGTATGACCCATCCTCTCTTCCCTCCCACCATCCCTGCCGACAACATGACAACACGCATGGCTAAGGCACTCTGCAGCAACCCTTGCCAAATCATTTCCTACGAATCCTGCCACCCAAAAGGCAGCCAGTGGGAGTTTCTGTTAAACAGCTTTCAACGGCTTTAAACATATGCGAATTTGTTCCTCTCCCTACCACTCCCGGAAAAAAGAAACTTACGGGGGTAAATAGACAGCAATTATTTAATTTGCACAGGAAACACGAGAATTGAGACTATTTTCTCAAACTATCCATAAACATGGTTACTGTGCTAGCACACATCCAGAGTATAATTTAGAGAGAAAGAAAGAAGGAAAAGAAATGAGCAGTTTTGCCCAGTACTCACCACAGCTCTTCCACTAACTGAAAGGCCCCAAACTCCCACTTCAGGTCCCGTTCCCAGTTTGTTTTATACAAACATGTCCAAGCTGTTTGGCTCCTGTTGCCACAGGCAACCAAATAGCAGAGAGTGAGCTAAGGAAATGACACCCTATGTCTCAGAACCCGCCTTAGCAAAGGCTGCTTGAACTCTCACTCAGAACCATGTCGATTCTGAAGTCAGCTTCCAAACAAAGAGAATCAGACCACTGACAGAGCAAAGCATCTGGACCAGGCTCTTCCAGCCTCACGCTGACACGAAGACAGCCCCCTAAACCATTTCCAGGGAACTGACAAATGAAGCTAAGTAGGGACACACTTGTGCAAGGACAGTTGCTTGGGACAGTTGTGTCAGTTAAGAGCTTTACTAGACTAGAGGACAGTTACTTCCACTTTCCCTAAAAAGAAAACCAGGCTGTTCCCTTATACAACTGCGTTAGACACACAAAGTAGGGACACAATGAAACTAGCATCTTATCTCCTTGAACGGTGTACTGTTTACAGAAGAAAGCTTTTCAGCTGCCTTTAGCCTCTGTGTTCACAGAAAAAAAGTACCGGTCACAGAGATAACATGCTGAAAATCACTCTCCTTAATTCATTCTTGCTGTTCTTCCCTTGTCACATAAAATCCTCGTCTTACATACCATTCGATCCAGCAATCCTACTCCTAGGAATATATCCTAGAGAAATAAGAGTCGTCACTCGAATAGACATATGCACACCTATGTTCATGGCAGCATTGTTCACAACAGCA